AGAAGGAACCTCCCCCCCCCAGGGCGCTCAATATATCGAGGCTTAGGAGTGGAGGAAAACCACGATGGTCTAACGGTTAGTCGTCCATTGTGTCGAAAACGAGGGTGATTGATATCTGTCCTATCAGATCAGGGTAAGGCACGGGTTCAACTTCGATACCCAGACTTTCTGTGGGCGGAAAGCCAACATAGTCCCTGGCCCAGTTCATGGTCAACAATGGTCGGCCATTTAAGTAAAGCACACAGCTAGAAATTGCCCTTGGACCCTTGGACACGATCATCTATCTTTCATCATAGTCGTAGATCTCGCACAAAAAGCCAGCCCATGAGTCACCCTCCCCCTTTCCTGGATTAAGTAGTTGGATGGCTCGCTACATGGATAAGTTACTACACGGCTCTGGGGTGTAGGCCTTACATGTCAAGTGCCGAAGTACTGCAGCTTAGCATCCCAGCTTGTACTGCTTGGTTGTTTTTATCAAACTCGTGTAATGGCCTACGGACATGATTTGTCCTTCGTGCCAAAGTTTATAGTAAAAGACCCCGGGGGTGCCATATTTCGTCATGTACAACCTATTGAGTATAATTGATCGTCACCAGGATGTTACACCACAAACTTAAGACATTGAGATTGGTGTTACTTCGTAATGAGAAAAGGAGGTCATACCTAGAAGACCGGCTCAGGGCGGTGAGGACATACTGCGAAGAAGAACATCATTGTATGGACATTCTAGGGCTACGTTTACTAAGTTCTACGCCATAGTCACTAACATATTAAGAGTGGTTGGATTTTAGAGTAACCTCTTGATATTTTTGGCCACTACGCCGAATAAATCAATAGGTATGTTAATTATAATTCAAGCCATTCCTAACCAAAACGCCTGCCGCGCCTGTAATCGTCGAACCCATACCATGATGCCACAAGCTTTAACATGCACAAATCTAACGTTGAGACAGCGTATAGACCGTATAACAGCGAAAATTCAAACAACCGCAAGCACGTTTAGTCTTGCCCCAATAACTTTTGGTATCATGCTTAAGCGGCGGTCTTGTTGGTGCGGTTGAAGATACCGGCGACCAAGCAATGGTCACGCTCGAAAGGTTCTGAGAAAGAGAAGACGTTAGCAATTGTACGAGGTGGAATGCGGAGGTATAGGTTAGTGTCAATAACTTACCCAGAGTAAGCTGGTACTTGGGTTTGATGCCATCAGCACGCATCTTCTGGACCTCGCTGGCGAAGACCTCAGCGGCAGGGGCGGTACTGTCGATACAGTTGGCCTTGATGGAGATAAGGACACCACCGCCGGCCTTCAAGAACCAATTGGCGTTCAAAGCGACGATACGGGCCTGGTCGGGCTGGGCAACATCGGCAAAGATAACGTCAACCATGGGGACGACCATGCGGTAACGGGCGGGCTGACGGGCATCCTCAACAATGGGGACGACGTTGGTGCGCTTGGAGGCCATGGTGACGAGATCACGGCCGGAGCGGGAAGAAAACTCAACGGCGTAGACGTATCCGGTAGGGCCAACAAGGTCAGCAACGTGGGAGACGGAGGTACCAGAAGCACCACCGAGGTAGAGAACACGAGAGCCAGGCTTCATGTAGATGTCGTCGGCACCACCGGCGATGGCGGCGCAAAGCTTGCTTCGGAAAGGGTTCCAGGTACGGTACTCAATCTTGGTGGTAGTGGTAGTACCGTCCTCGTTCTTCTGGACCTCATCGACGGAGACACGCTTCTCGCCGTAGACGGACTCGCCAGGGGTGATGTTGCGGGTAGCAAGACCATCTTCCTTGCCGCCACGGATGACGAAGACACCAGGGTGACGGTGAGGCTCCTGTTGAGCAGCAATGTTAGCGGTCAAAGATTTGAGATGAATGGATTGACGGCACAACAACGTACAATGATGACCTTGGCACCGCCCTTCTGGCCAGGCGCGCCGCCGCCGCGACCGCCACGACCGCCTCCACGTCCACCGCGAGCACCACCGCGAGGGCCACCGCGAGGAGCACCTAGTCATTGAAAGTCAGCCTTTGATGCCATCACCAACCACCCTCAAAACTTTGAGGCGACGATAAGAGAAGCGTACCTCGACCGCCACCGCGGCCACCTCCACGGCCGCCGAAGCCACCGCGGTCACCGAATCCGCCGCGACCGCCTCGACCACCACCGCGACCGCCGCCGCCACGAGGAGCACCTCGTCCGAAAGGTGCCATCTCTTCTGATTAGAGCTTGGGTTGTGTAGAGATTCGGAGGAATTGAACGCAAGGTTCAAAGAATGGAGCAGAGATTGAGGTGGAAGCAGATAAAAGACAACTTCGCGAAAGCAGAGAACGGGTTTGAGTCCGTTTCTAGGTGTTGCTTCTAACTTTCAAACTCAGTGGTTGAGACTGCTTAGTCTTGAAGTCGAAGAAAATTCTTGAAGCTTTTTTTTTTCCTAGTAAGTTCTGGCGGCTGGGCCCCACATGTCGCATGGGCTTGTCCAACTTTTTCTGGCCCGGAGTTCTGCCGTTATCAGGACCAGAACTGCTCCCGATAAGGCGGCTCCACGTGTCACGTGATAAGGCACAAATTAGAATATGTATTCTGTACAATTTTGAAGCTCTCTTCAATCTAAGAACAAAGGCAGAATTCATTCGGGAAGATTTATGCCAAGTTCTCTCGCCATAGTCACATTTTCCCACCCTCCATACACCGTCTTTGCTGCAGAATACCCTACCATACCTCAAGGTGGTGGCATTAGCTTGTGGTTGCTGACTACGCATCCTTCCACAGGGCAGTCAAACCCTAGAAATTCCCAAAGTGGGTAAGCGACTCTTGTTGGTGTCAAGCAGTTGCTTTAGGGCAAAAGTTCAGAAATTCTCAACTACAGCCAGCCCCGAACCCACGTCGTCGAATCGAATCCCCGTCACCACAACACCAAGCCGTCGAGATGGTGAGTGCTGCCCTGCGTCCCATTGAGAAGAATCGAATTGTTTTGGGGGGACTGTTGAGCTGGAGTTTTCGCAGCCGAGATGTGGCAGTCTGCGGTCGCAGTTTCGCCCTTTTCGTTCCTCCGATAATATTCACCTCTCTCCCCCAAGCAATTCGACACAATGCGGACTGGTTTTTCGATGAAAAGAAATCATGAGTCTAACATGGGAATTTTTTCCAGGTGCGATACGCTGCGACTGAGATCGAACCCGCCAAGTCGGCCCGCGCCCGCGGTGCCTACCTCCGTGTCTCCTTCAAGAACACCCGCGAGACCGCCCAGGCCATCAACGGCTGGAAGCTGCAGCGTGCTGTTACCTTCCTTGAGAACGTCAAGGAGCACAAGGAGGCCGTCCCCATGCGCCGATATGCCGGCAGCACTGGCCGCACTGCTCAAGGTACGCTCAGCTCGAGAAATCCCACGCAGCCCCTCGAAAGTGTGAAGAGAAATTGGTGCTGGAGGGGGACTTCACACGGGCTGCGGAGAGGCTCAAAAATTCAATCTGTATGAGAGGGACATTTTTGCTGATTGGGTCTGCCACGTACAGGAAAGCAGTTCGGTGTCTCCAAGGCCCGCTGGCCCATCAAGTCCGCCGAGTTCCTCCTCGGTCTCCTCAAGAACGCTGAGGCCAACGCTGATGCCAAGGGCCTCGACACCGGTGCCCTCATCGTAAAGCACATCCAGGTCAACCAGGCCCCCAAGCAGCGCCGCCGAACGTACCGTGCCCACGGTCGTGTATGTTTTGAACCCCTCTCCAAGACCAATTGGCAGAGTTTCCGAATTCTAACGCAAGACCTCCCTAGATCAACCCATACATGTCAAACCCCTGCCACATCGAGCTCATCCTCACCGAGGCTGAGGAGGTTGTCCAGAAGTCCGAGGAGGTTGCTGGCCGTGAGGACCTCCGTCTGAACTCGAGACAGCGTGGTGCCCGCGTCCGCCAGGCCATCACCGCCGCATAAAGGTACCCTCTAACCAAGGGGGCTTGTAGTGCGGTTGTGGAGTGACTTTTGTACCGACGGCGAGCGGCGCAAGAGAGAGGGGGCTAGCAGAATGGGCTTTTCGAGTTGTTGGGTTTTCGGAGGGTCCCGGTTCGTGGCTTTTCATCTCATGGTGTATGGCAAGGCTGCGAGGAGCATGGCATCTTACAGGGAAAAACGCATGCAACGTCTTTCGCAAGGCTTTTTCTTAACGAAATATACAAAATCTCGAATGAATTAAAAAATGGACCCTACAAAACTTGCACCCTTCCTCTCCCCGTCCGGTTCTCTCCCTACATAATACAACGGCAGAGATGTCTTTTACAGATGTGTAGATATTGATGAATCAAAATCTGACTTGGGTCGCTCGAGATGCCCCTTGTACCTTTACGAATTCGGGTGCAGGATACACTACAACTCTTGCAAATAGAAGTTTTTCACGTGAGATATTCGTACGGTGTCGGCTGAACACAACCCAGTAGGGGGTATGTGATCACGATCATCAGGTCATAACCATAAACTCGTAAACATTTGTCATTTAGGGTAAAAACCAGGTTTCGTAAGCAAAGTACACAAAGTGTACATGACCTAGGTTACATACTTTTCCTCCTTTCCGTAATCTTGTATCGTTGCAGCTCTTTCTTGAATATCGTCTGAACATAAACTCTCATCATAAAAATAAGAAGCACCCCACGGCCTGCTTCTGTTCACCCTTCGTGGCATGCAAGGAAAAGAACTACATAATGCCAGCACCAGGGTGCTCGGAATAAATGAAAAGATAAGGGGAGAAAAAATGGACCAAACTCCGATAACCGTATATCACCTCTCCTTCGATCACCTCTATCGAGGGTTAGAAGAATATTTTCCGCCTGTGCTGTGCCACCTAATACCAAGTAGAAGTTAAGTATTGTCTTTGTCTGCTTGGTTGCTATTCCCATAAAAAAAAACATAAAAATTAAACCATTAGTCGAGAGAAATAAGGAAAGCCCACGTGGGCTTGAAGAAGCGAAGAGAGAGAGTACGAAACTCCCCCGTGAACATATATTTCACTTCACTCCCCATCCAGATGGGTTTGCGGAGTGTGCCACTCCAGCGACTCCAAGACGGACTCAAGGTCGTCCCCTTCATGGCCGTTATCCGACATGCTTGCAGGGGGCAGACTGACTGTTATATTGTTGCGTTCGGGTGGTATGAATTCGTTCCATGGGCGAGGAACAGGGGACGTGTCAACCATTCCGGAAAAGCGCCCGGTGCCGGGAAAGTCCACGCCATCAGCCGTGGCATCGTGAATCGTTCTTTGGCTATAGACACGTTCCCAACCTATCGCCATGCCGAAAGCGTGGGTGAGATTGAACGCTTCTTGTGGCCCAATGTAGGGCAATATTTGGGCAAGCTCCCTGTCTTTGCAACGCTGCATGATACGCTGAGGCGTGCTCGGATTGTGGTTTGGAGAGACAACGCCGTGGGCTCCAGGAGGCAAGAGAGCACGAGTATTGAGGTTAGCGGCGTCGACGGCGACATAGCCACAAGATTTGAAAGACAGGCACTTGATTGAATATCGCCTCTCCTCCGCGAGAAGACGATCACATTGTGGAATCACATCTGCGGCCATTTGGAGAAGAGGTGGCCATCGGCTGTCTTCCCAATCAACGCCATCTTCAATAACACGGCGAATGGAGTCACCAGGAGTGAAATGCTCGATAAATCCTGCCCACGTTAAAAGTTCTGGAAAGACGAGTGTCTCAGGGCGCACGGCCATATCCTGTGGTATAGCCATATTTGCTGCGTGTGCATTGATGGGATGTTGCACGGCATTGATGATGGGATGTTGTCCGGCCGCGATGAAGTGATGGTGTCCAGCCCCGATGAAGGGATGGTGTCCGGCCCCGATGAAGGGATGATGTCCGGCTGCGAGGATAGGTTGTTGTTCGCCCCCGAAGACAGGCTGTTGTACGTCCCCGAAGACAGGTTGTTGTACGTCCCCGAAGACAGGTTGTTGTACGTCTCCGAAGACAGGTTGTTGTCCGCCCCCGAAGATAGCTGGGTGGTTCCAGATATGATTTGGGTTGAAGATCTGTGGAAGTCCAGGCTGTGCTACATGGGCATGTTGGGCGAAGCCAACAAAGCCGTTGTGCATCATCATCATTTGGTTAAAATGAGCAGCAGCTTGGCCGTTGTGCAAGCCCAAAGGAAATTGGGGATTCCTGGTAGGCTGGCCCGAAAGGGAGACCGACTCCAGCTCTAATTTTTCCAAAGACGCAAGTCCCATCTCCCGAACAAACTGGATGAGGACGTGTGGCGATGCCCAGCAGTTCTTGAGAGAGAGATGTTTAAGATGCGGCAAACTCAGAAGTCTATCTTCTTGAAAAACGTTCAAATTCGCTGACGCCATATCCTTTGGGTTCTTGAAGAACGGTGCCGGAAGAATATATTGATTCCGTTGGTACGAGCTTGGAGCGAATTCACCACCGCATATCCACTCGAAATGCAAGCTTTCGATTCCGGGCTGCTTGCCGATGTAGTCCTGAAGAAGTCTGAAAACCAAACCGACAGCGGTCACTGGCGATACTTCGTTGTCCTCGATGCACCCCGGAGTGGGCTTTGTGATTTTTCTCCAGTCCGCAATGACACCCAATGACACGTTGGCGAGATTGGGAAAGCTATCCCAGAAGGAATCCCGATAGAATATATGAACATGACAACTGGGTATTTTGGCAATAGACAACGTGGTGAGCTGCGAGTAGCAACCGATGGCTGCATTGTCGACCATGGTAATCACGTAGGATTGAATCATGGCTCGGTGAGCCCACTCCAACTCAAGAAGAAGCTCCTTTTGAGCCCGAGAGAGGAAAGCAGGGACAAGAGGAAACCTGCGAGAGTCGGGCCGATCGAGGCCCTCTGCGCTTCCGTCTATTGCTAACATGGCAAGCACCTGTTGCTCGTGGACATCAGAGCTGCTCCTCTCCAGAGCATGCATGTTCGAGCCGGCAGTTCTTTCGTCAACATCGATGGCGGGCATGTTATTGTTTTCTGTGTCAAGGAGCAGACCGATAGCCTCGTTGATTGCCGGCCCTTCATAGCCTGCATCAATGACCATCTTCTCAAGAACTTGTCGCTGAAGGGAAAGATTGTCAGACGCAGAAGCTTGTGACTTCTGGGCTCCAGGGCCATTCAAGTTGGCGATTGTGACACATTGATCGTCCTCTTCTTCCACCATCTGGCCGGGGTGGTGCTCTCGGCGCCAATTCCTTGTGGCAAAGACAGGTCGGCGGGTTGATGCGCGGCGCCCACAGACATCTGGCCTTGTGAGAAAGCCAAGACCAGGATCGCAAGACAGGCCCATATTGGTAACTTTGGTCAAACATTTCAAAGCGTCCTTCATCTTTTGTGTTTCATCTGCCGTCTGTTCAATTCCCTGGAGGTCGGAGTACCTGGTGTAAGTCTGGGGTGGCCATCGATATATCCCCCAGAATGAGGTCACAGCCTCTTGGGCTGGCTTAATCGGAGGGGTCGCAAGGTCATCCTCATCCAACTCAAGAGAGAGGGCGAAACGTAGGATATGAGGGCCAAAGGACTCGAAGATACGTGAGCCAGTGGAGAAGAGGGCCGAGGATGGGTGCAGTCGGGGCTCGGACGACTCTCTATCAAAATCGCCATATAACTCGGGTCGAAATGGGACGACAACGTTCTTGAAGTACTTGGCAGAAACCTTGATTTCAAACTCCTTGTTTACCCTGCGAAGAGATCTAACCTCAGCTCGGGAAAGAAACGAAGTAATGAGCTCGAAGATTTCAACGGGGATTCTTGAGGCAGGCCATGGTATTTCCCAAGTAGTAGGATCGGATAGGTCGCTCGGAGCATCAGCTGGTTCGTCAGCCTCAGCGCCTTCGGGGGGTGCAGGGCAATCGGGCGTTGTTAGGTCGATCTCCATGTCATAATTGGCGTCTGAGCTCGCGGGGCTCGATAAATCGTCTTGGGCGATGGGATAGTCGAAGTGGGCAGGGTGCACAAAGAAGAGATCCATGATGGAAATCTTTTGCCATTGAATTTCGAGGCGTTTGTCAGCGATGGCACATTGATCAAATAACCAGCGACATATCGTGCTGCCAGTCTGCTGGTGTAGAAGGGAAACCATGGCAGGCGGAATGCCTGGCGGAGGCCCAGCTAAAGGTGCTGACCGAGCCTCAAGTGCACTGTCCTAAGGTATCAGAAAGAGTGGGCTGCCCAAGCGAGGGCGGGGCAATTCGAAGCCTAATTCGTCCGCTGTGACACAGAGTGAATAGGTGGCGTTGAGTGCCGCCGAGGTCACAGCGGTCCCTTTAGGTACTCTGGGGGCAGGAACGGGTGCGGAGTCCGTGGGGAAGGTACCAACGAGTACCTGGGCGAGGTACCTGGAGCAAGTGCCTGAGACAGTGCCAACGTACGCGCCTTCCTTGCAGCCCTGTGGCCGTCCGCTCCTGCCCGTAGCAAGCTTGGGTACCAACTGCCAGCTCGACACGGGTGAGAACGCAGGCGGCGGCTGGAGGCAGGCGGGAGATAACGGGTCGCCAATGGGAGTTTTTCTCTCATCCGAATGTTGCACGTAATCGCCTTTATGCTGAACAGGTATCTTTTGCTGGATGGTGTCACTAGCTCGGCGGGCAACCGGATCGATTTGGCACACGATCAGCAGTGGCGGAGGGTGGACAGGTTTCCCCAGGGCGATGATTGACATCGAAATGAGATGTCCTTTGAATACAAGTCCGTTGAGCGCATGTCTACGACAATCCTCGGCAGACGAGGACCCGTCCTTTTTATCAAAGAATCTAAGCTGTCTAACCATCAGCGACAACCCCCAGCTTTGCTCGCTGCACCGCGAATCTCCCCCACATGCACCATGGATGATGGGTGATAGGCGGCACGACATGGACCCTGAGCGTCAGCACCAGTTCCAAGGACCCAATTTGCAATACCTTCTGACCTCTGTAGCCCTTGGAGCTCGCCCTGTTTGCCAGGAACAGATCCAGCTTGAGCTTCTGATTACCCGAATATGGATCCTTCCTAATTGTCATTCTAGAAAAGATCTACTCTCTGGAAAGCATTCTGCTGTTGAACATCTCCTGCCTTTTGCCTTGGTCCGCTAACGGCAATGGGGAGGGCGGGCATTGAGACCAGTTTGAATTCCTAGACGGAACTGGTTTTCTACCCACCCCGTAGATGGGCAAGCAAGTACGCAACCCCTTTGCTTTTTCCACAGGGAGGAGGCAACATCTGGAACCTGTTCCACCTGGTAATGTTTCGTTGTCACAATCAGACGGCCTATGAAGGTACTAGGTGTGTACTTTGCATGGATGCTGTTGACATGGAGGTAGCAGTGTCATGCATGACCGAACCAACCCCACCAAGACGGAAGGATGCGCAGCCAGCCTCACTTGAGACCAGCTGGATCGGCTCAGCACAGTACCCTTCCCGGCGCCAAACTGAGCTCACTGGCGATAGGCCTTGTGTACAATGACGGTGTATCGGGCCTAATGACGGGACGGGTCGGAACTTATGGCGATGACAAAGGGACCTGGAAAGGTGTTCACTTGCCGGAGATCATATGTCTGTGAGCTGACGGGGCATAATGCCTGGCTTATGCCCCAAGAGACCCCACAGCGGGATGATGGAAGAAGCATTGGTCCGCACATCAACCAATTCTGACATGCTTGCCCAAGGATGTTCCGTGAGAAACGGCAAGCCGCTGCTTTATGTCAAGTGAGGGAGTTCTGCCTGGGAGGCACGCGACTGACATAAAAATGGCATACCCGGAATCTCCAGTTGAATTTCGACACAATAACAGAGCAATCAGCCTAGTAATAGACATAACGTCCAGCTCGTTATCGTAGAATAACTTTTTAATTTATTTCTATTGTGTTCAGTATTATTCATAAGAAAATCAGGGCCCTACCTTGTATGAAAAGGGCTTTAGTGTGCCATATTTTTATTAAGTCTTTGGCATTGCAACCAATAAGCCGTCCACAACCCCAGATATGAGACGTGATCTCTGAGTATGTGATTCGAGACATGAGCCAGATACCTGTGCGATGGCGAAACTCAGGCCGGAATGCTAAGGGAGATCCCCATACCACATTCTCACACCTCGTCGGCAATCCAACAGCTCATCTCCGATCTAGCGTATGGAATACATGCGAGGCTTCCTAGTACACATCTCACAGGTCAGCTCTTCACCATGGCGCCTGTAACTGCGCCTCTTGGGTGCGGATCGAATGCCTGCCCAGGACCTTGCCCATGTCGCTGCTACCAACAATGCCCTGTTCCAAGATCGACCGTCACAATTTCGTCACTGCCATTATGAAAATTTCTAATTCTGAATGACTCAGGAACGATTTTGGCAATGCCATTGAGCGAAGACGTAAGTACTTGATCGTAGGTGCAGCCACAACTCAAGAGTTGCTGTTAATGAACTCCTAAAAACCATCACCAAGTAATTCATTTCATTTTTATGATGACAATAGGTATGTAGGAACAACCAGGCACTTAATCTACAAGCTTTGGAGGCGTTGTACCCATGCGTTACAGGGAGTGACATGGGCCTACACAGTTGGAGGCCTGCTAAAGCCATCGAGCCAGGGCCCAACCCACTAAATAACCTTAGCTTCACTCCAGCCCGAAAGGCCCCTGCTGAGCTCTCGTCCCGCACCGTCGGTAGTTGATCCTACTCTTGGCAAGGACGTAAATCTAGCTGACTTGTCTAGACCCCCTGACCGCTATCATTGAATCGAGCAAGCTTACTCCGTTCTGAGGAGTGAACCCCGTTTAATGACGACGTTAGCGGTTCAGAGGTGGCCAGCGCTTGGTTACGCGATCTTCGAGGGAGGCCCTCATTGAGAATAGCTAGGTAGTCATGGCAAGGATAATACGAGCTTCTTTGAATGCAAACTTGGGGTGCCTTGGGTGCCAACTTAGGTATCGGAAAGCTTAGAATCCAGTTTTCCCAGTCTAATTCTCTAGCATCTTTTACCGCCTCTTCTCTTGGGACCCGGGTTTTTCCTGTGGTTGGGGCTGTGTAACTTGTCTGAAGGCGGTCAACAGAACGTTGTTGCACCTTTGGTTCGAGTCCGCGGTCAAACCTTTGCCAGTCCACGCCTGCCAATAACAAGCATACCTAAAATGAGGGAAGGATGATACCCCTATGCCAGGTTTCAGCACCACGGAAGTGGCATTTTGTTGCAGTTGTAGAACTGTCATTGCCTCCCGCGCTACTGGCTCTGGGAACCAGTCGGGTGGCTCCCATGATGGCTTTGGGAAGTTGAGATTGGGAGCTTGCTGAGTGGTCTGAACCTCTGCCAAGCCTTGCGTAAATATAGGAGGATTTGGGGCTAGTTTTAGCGTCCCGAACGTTTAGATCGAGGGTGCACTCCCATCTTGCGATGTGTGGATCTTATCTCCTCAAGCCCAACCGAGGGACTTCAGCAGCTGTCTCTTCGTGATGGAAGTTCAGACTCGTTGTTCTTAGCTCCATGACGACCCCGAAGACGTATAATGAAGAACACTACTGCAGGACAACCACCAATTTTGCAATCGCAGAGTTAAAATACGAGATGTTTGGTGTCATCCAGCCCATTGATATATCGCTGAGCCAACTGGTTCCCCAGGGATCCATGTATTATTTGCAAGCTAACCCTGATCCCAATAATAAGAGTAAACAACTAGGTATGAATCTAATACGCCTAACGAATAAGAAAATATTGCTTTACACTGCACAACAAGGGTGCCTCCGTGCTTTCATACATACCAGTAATCTCCACCCCTATCCCTTGTGCTCCTGGAACCCATCCGGCTTCCATTCTCCGTGACCTGCAGGTGCATTCTGTGAATTGCCCTTTGATGCCGCTCCTGCAGCAACAACCGTCGTGCCTAGCTGGCTGGCGTGTTTCTCAAAGTCGGATGTGCCCAGCCAGTAAAGGGACAGGAAGATGAGAAGGTGGAGGGCCAGGCAGTATGCTGCGAAGAGGTTTCTGCTCGTCCGAGAGGCGAGGACCATTCTTGTTATGCTGTAGACTATCCTCTCCGGAAGACTCATGCGCTGATAGGCTCTCGCTGACTCGCGGCCGCGGAACGCAGCGAAGGGCGAGATGTTTGACTCGTAAGCTTTGCGGTATCGGTCCAACTCGATGCCCGGGTTCCCTGTCCCCCCGATTGCTACCGTGGAGGGGTTCGGGTTTGAGGAGAAGGCTGACGTTGCCGTGGAAGCACCTCCCCGGTTGTACGTAGACACGTACCGCGTCTTCTCATACAGGTTGAGGTTGTCCTTCTGCAATGCTGCTACCTCCTGTCTAAGCTGTGACACAGTCCGGTGGGTGTCGGAAAGCTCCTGCTCGAGCTCTGCATTCTTCTTTTTGAAGCGGTCGCGCTGTGCGGCGACCATGGGGAGAATGCCAGAGCCACCGCCCATGGGCTCACGCTCAGACATACCCGACCTAGGATCCAGTCCACTAATAATGGAGGATGTCGGGGATACTCGGCCACCACGTCGAGTGGGTGGCGGGCCTCTTGTGACGTAGGTTCCCGCAACAGAGGCGCCAGAGGGGAAGGCGTTGACCCCTTCCGACTGAAGAGTTTCTAAGTCGTTTTCCAGCTTCTGGTTGAGATTCTGAGACTTCTCCAACTCCGCATTGGTCCTCGAGAGTTCCTCCTGGATCTCTTCCAGCCGTGCCTGGAGACCTTGGCTTGAGACCCGTAGAATAGTCAGCTCGTCACTAAGCTTCTTATTCCTGCCCAAGAGAAGTCTCTCAAGTGACTCATTATTGGACGCATCGCCATCCTGGACCTGTTCGCGCACGTCGTCGTCGTCTCCTGTGGCAAACTCGATGCTCTTGAGGATTTCAAGTTCTTGCTTCAACTCATCATAGTCCGTCCATTTTTCAACCTTGGCCTTCAAGCTTTCCTTTTCCTCTTTCAGCAAGGTGACCTCCCTTTCGATGGACCGTACCTTGGCATCAAGATCTCGCTTTAGCGCCTCCTTCTCGACCCTCGCGGCAT